TAAATTTCACCCCTGAAAATGTCTTGATATTGTTGGGAAGTTCAAAAGTAACACTGTAAACTACAAGACTAACCCATTTTCAAGACAACTATCAGGCTGAGCCATATGAAATTGCCAATACTTATCTTTTTTTAAACCTATAAAGCTGGCTATTTCAAACAAACATTCGAGAAATACAGAGGATATCTACTCAGAAATACAACATTAATATTGTCTATTTGTTTGGATATTTTTGTCCTATGCTGCCTCTTATATTAGTCATCTTGAAAATATTTCTTGCTTCTCCCTTAGATACATGGAAAATACTACCTTTCTTGAAGACAGCTATAGCAACATGAACTTAAGACTTTAAATTGAAACAAGAATTAATAGGCACCAAAAATTGGGGATGGACGCTTGCTTTAGTTTTAGTATTACAACTTAACTAGTGAAGCAGACTAAATCATTGCGATGAGTTCTATGTTTGAAATTTGACTCTAGTCTTAGCTTTATTATGAACTGTCTAACAAATCAGAGGTGAGGTTCACGGGGCCTCAGATTTCCTGGCTGTGGGGTGAGAAGCTGGACCTACAGTCTTGAAAATCCTGCTCTGTTGCGATATTTTCTTAATTTGTTCTATTTATATATTTTTTGTACTATTGCACTTATTTGTACTATTTATAAGCCACACTCATGAGAGAAAAGGAAACTAGCAGAGTGCCTCTGGATGTACAGATAGCAAAAATGTACATGAAGTTCAGACTATAGCAACTCAAAAATAGTTTTCCAGAGAAAAGCAAGAATTAGATTAAGCAAGAGTGTCACAAAGTCATGCTGGCCTGGGCAGAGGATGGAAGCTAACTATGAGTCTGAGCTCCAGAAAAAAAGAAAAAGAAAAAGAAAGAGTCTGAGTCTGACTGTAAAAGTCCACAGGCCACCACATCTTCTGTTGAGTAGTTTTGACACAGCTGCATTAAGCATTGATGCCCTTTGGAAATATAAAGGCAAACAGTCTACTGTAAAACGTGGGTGCAATTTGTCCTCCATTAGATTCTGGCTTCCATAAAATATAACTGCCTGTATTTACACTAATGTAGACATGTTAGCTAAAATCAAATTTCTCTCAGAAATGTAAGGAGCACTCATATCTGTAACAATCTGACTCACAGCAACTCAATATAAAGACCACCCTCCATCCTGCCTATGATCATGAAGGTAATCATGAAGGAATTTTAAAAAAGAAAACCATGCACAAATGAAAAGCAAGCAAAAAGAAAACACACAGTAGGGAAGTGATAGAGATAATTAAACTAAAAATATTTACTGCCACATTCTATAAAGCACATTCCTTTCCCACCAATTTTCTCTGTACTATAAGGAAAAATACAAAATTGATTCCTTACCAGAATAAAATTGGTACTATGTTTTGGAAAGGAAATCACAGGCTATTATAGCCATTTTCCAAGCTGAATTATTCTTTTCAAATGATTGCCTGGAAATTAGATTTCCATTTTTCTTTGATCATTCATGCTCTTTCTTAGAGATCTGCATGAAGATAAGAGCTTACAAAAACCTAGCTGAAGAATAGGCAACAGGAGAATCTATACAGATGCATGTCCATCATTGGAGACCCAAGTATATATAATGTTACAAAGGCATAATAGACCAAATGTCTATATTTTGCAAAGATTTAATTTTGCAGTCTGTTAAATCTCCATGCATCAGTTATCACAGCTGTGACATAACAAATCAAAAACATGCATAGGATACTTTAAAATGAATACTCTAAGAATCTATGAAGGTACTAATTCCTATCTATATCCATACACGCAAAAAATGCAAATATGTACCTAAAATCTTTAGGACTATTTTTATTAATATAATTTTAAGATGTAATTTATTCTCTGATGATAGATTGGTTTGTAAAATATGAATGATAAAATTCTCTTTAGAGCAATGCAAACCAATCAGAAAACAAACTCATCAATAGGGATAGAAGGCTCTATATTTGTACAGATAGCACACAAACTAACATGAATAGAATATGCCCCTAGCTAGCTAGGCATGATGGCACATGCCTGCAATCCCAGGACTGGGGAGGCTGAGGCAGAAAAATCACCACAAGTTCGAGGCCAGCCTGAGCTACAGTGATTTCAAAGCTTGAACTACATAGTGAGACCCTGTCTCAAAAAATCAAAAAACCAAAAACCAAACCAAAACAAACAATCAAACAAAAAGAATATGCCCCTGACTAATGTCCATTCTCTTGATTGTAAAGTCTCTAAAACAAAGATACTAGAATAGCAGTGATGGTGAACCTTTTAGAGACAACTGCCCAAACTGCATCTCAAAAACCCAGTTATTTATCACAAAGTGTCAGCTTTGCTATTAAATCCGAATACTGAGGTTTTAGTTTAGAAAAAAACTACTCATACATTAACATCTTTTGTCTTAAAAGAAAAATGAATAATACATGTGCCATGGGTTCACCCCCACTGTACTAGTCTGTCCGCTCTTTTGTACAATCTACAGATGCTATTTTAAATTGTGTCATTATCTCACACAATACTGAGAACAAATTCCGGAGCTTTTTTAAGTTTTAAAAGCTATTTTGATTAGGAATTCACCATTAAATTATAAAGAAAGTTAGGAGTCCCATCTTTCTCATTTCTGTCCTTAATGCCTTCACCTACTAAATCTTCAAAAAATATTTTTTATGTGGATCAAATCAGCTATTACAGCCTTATGTGCTTAGAGGGTTTCGTTAACTATATTTTATATCTGAATAGGTATGCCTCACTTTCTAAGGCAAAAAAGATCTCTATTAGGCTGCAGTTGGCTTTGTTAGATACTGAAATGTTACTTTAAAAAGTCATTTTAGGATTTTCTAAAATATTTTACTACCTCTTCACCTTAGAATATCCAAATTAACTTTCATATGCACCTATCAAATAAAGCTGCACTTCAAGAAAAAATGAAAGTAGAGACGCTTATTTATCTGCAAGAGGGAATGGCAAACTCTAGGGACTGGGTCAAATCTGGCCCATTTATTAAAAATCTAAAAATATTTTACAGTGATATCAAAAGGAGAATATGTCATGCCATGAGAAAAACGCAAAATTAAATTTCAGCATCCATGAATAATTTTTTTTTTTGTAACAGTCATCTAATTTGTTAATCCAATACCTGTGGCTGCTCTTCTTCTATGACTACAGAACTAAGCAATGGCAAGAGACCATTTGTATCAAAAAGCCTAAAACATTAAGACCAATGTTTTGCAGAAAAAAAAAATGTTTAAGATCCCTGTGCTAGATGATCAGACTCTCCTGCTAGCTGCAAAAGAAAGACAGAAAAGTTTACCACGGAAGAACTAGTTTAGCGTGATATGTTGCTGGGTATGCTGGGTAATTCTCCTGGAGTCATTTTGGCTGGGTTAAACTTTTCCAGCGTGAACTGAAAGCAGTTTGGGAGTGTTTCATAATTCCCTGAGAAGCACTCTCAGAGAAAGCCCTTATCCCTTCTGAGTCTGTAATGATGGTTCAGGTCTGTGTTTCTTTGATCCCTGTTACGTGATTTTTATAAGAACTAAATCAATTTTGCACTGTAATATATTAAAGGATATTTCCATTTGATATCTAGAAGAATCTATACGATTGGTAAGAGGAATTCTGTCTGCAACCCAGAGATCTAATTGTCTTTTGCAACACTCCGTGTCCTAAGGAACCCCCTAATTAAACTGTCTGATCAGTCTGGTGTACAAAATCACACAGCTATGAGTTGCCAAGCTTTCATGCTGAAAGTAAATAATGAGAGTCCTCCCAGCCAAAAAAGGTCTTAAATGCTCAAACAGCTTCAAGTCCTTTGAAGACAGAGCATGCTTGTTTCTTATCCCTTAGCTGCTCACCCTATACTACGGTCAATAGGTGTGTTCAGTGGGAGCCTCCTATCTGGGAAGCAGTCAGGCCTCCTCAACCACACTTAGGTTGATTTAAAAATGAATAAGGGGGCTGTTTAATACACTTTCCAACACTATCTCCCTACGTGGATAATTCCATATTCGAAAAGAACCATTATTTTTTTGTTTTCATCTCTGTTATAAAAGATCATCTTTGCCTCAGGCAAGATACTTTCCGGTTTCTTTTTTTTTTTTTTTTCTGAAAAGCTGAATGTCTGAATTTCTCAAATGTACCTAAAATGTATATATTTTACATTTATCTGGAGATTGGCAGTACTTCCAGTACAAATACAATATCTTAATTAAACTAACAAGTGATAATTTTTAACCAGCAAAAGATAAATATGGAAAGAGACCTGATTGGTTAACCTACCATCCTTTTATAACAGTTATTCTATTCTTGTTATAGTCATAAAACAATTACCATCATCAAAGATTCAAGAGTCAAGAGTCAAAATTTAACTTATAAATAGGTTGCATGTATATGCTAATATGGTTGCAAAATATCTCCTGTTTATGTAAAAAATGTATTGCTGGAAGACAGTATGGAGCAAGGAGGCTAAAAGAATGACAATATGATATTACTTTGTAGGTCTCCACTCAGACATTTTCCTAATCAACATGCGTTAGGTCCCAGAATCTTTCTCAACAAAGTACTGGAACAAGTCACTGTGCAGCAAAACCTCTTTGCCATCCCCAGTCTAACAAAGTATTCCCAAAAATGGATTATACGTATCACAGAAGATGTACCAGCCAATCCATCTGGAGGAGGGAAGATTTGTATGGTTTAAAATACACACACTGTGACTAGAATTGTGTGTTAGTGACTGTGAGTGTGGTTTCTGATTCAATTTTCGAACGTTGGTGAACTCCTCAAAGGGAAGGTCATAAGACAAGACACACAAACGGTTGAAACTGGAAAATAAGTACCAGCCCAGCTTCACTGAACCTATTGTGATCTGCTGTCATTCAGTGCCCTCTTCTACACTGTCCACCAGACATCCCTTTTTGAGGCAAAAAATAGTCACCCTTGTTCACGCCTAAAGGGACACATGGACACACTCACTGTTTCTGAAGTAAGTGCTGATGCTGCTGCTGCTGCTGCTGCCTGTACGTTTCGATCGTGTGCTGCGGAAGATACTGCATGAGCTCCAGGGACTCTTTGATCTTTAACAGCATTTCGTAAGTCTCACGACCCCTCACCTATGCAAGAGTAGACAGAAAGAGAGGAACAAATGAAGAATCGCAGAGCAGAGCTGTTAATTCCCTGGCTCTGGTAATTCTAAGTTGTCCTACTTGCTAATATTGACCTGTAACATGGAAATCAATGCTCCTGGCACTTTTGAGTTATTCACAGATACGCACAGTGGTAAAATATCTGAGTCACCTGAGCACTTAATTCTACAGGTAGGATGGGTTTATCGTCCCTTTGGGAACTTCCTAGGAACCTGTCCAGTGACAAAACAAGAATCTACTGCAACTAGGTCTGGAAGGACAAGTTTTGAACAGGGATAAACTGTGGTTCTCTTTTAGAGAATCTCTAAAACGTAAGAGGAGAACCAGGGCCAGAAGGAGGCCAGCAAGGTACGCAGGGAACTGCAAACCCCTGAGAGTAATTAGCCACTTGAGGTTTGAACTCCAAGCTCTTCATTTGCTTCATACCAGTCCCTGCCCTGAGCATAAGGGGCAGCATTTGCCAGAACACGGGAATGGACTGATTTTTCTCCCCTGTCCTAGTCTTAGCTCTGGTGCTGGGGTCCCTTCTCTGAGAATCCTCTGAGAAGACTTCTGTTTGCATCCACCTCCTTCTAAGGTGCCTCTGCCACTCTCCACCCCACTCTACTGAGGCTTGTATCGCATCATATTATAACTGTGAACATCCTCAGTCACAGGCAAGCTCTTTGAAGACAGGAATTGTGTCCTACAGAGGCCTAATTGCTCAGGACCCAGCATTTTTGCCACTTAACAAATACCCACCAAACATATACTAAATTGATAGAGTTGGGTTTTTCCCCCGACACTTCAGTATGGTTAATTTATTTTTGCTAATCTTGAGATGTGGATTGTTACAGGGTATCTTCTGCATTAGTACAAACCTGAAATTTTATTTAAAAATAGCTTTTCAGATAATTCCTCTCTCATCAGCTGAGAACATAATTAAGTCTTCTGTAATATTTACTATATTAGAATATTTTATTTAAAGGTTATACAGCAATTTCCATAGGTAGCCTGAGAACCTTAGCTGAACTGACTCCTGATTCGTCAAAGAGCCTATTTCCCAAGGCCCAAGGTAGGTATGGCACACCCAAACCTGGTGAGTTGCTTTAACCCTGATTCAGGGCAGTAGCGTGCAGTTGGTTCTCTTAGTCCCTCTTGCCTGCATTTTGTGCCAGTTTACGTGTTATCAAGGGCCATATTGAACACCACATCTTTGTTGCCCCTCTAGTTGACAAAGATCTAGGGTAGTAAGAATTCGATGAACTGCAGTCATAATCTAATGAAATGACCTGATTAGTGACTTCCAGAGGGATAATGTTCTGTGTAAAAGCAAATGAGACTGTTACACAATAATTGGGCCAAGCCTCCTGGCTATTCACATAAAATTGAGGATTTTGCCTGACTAGGCTTTCATTGTACCACTTCCTAAAAGAAAATGAAAGTTCTAAACACAGAAAAATGATTCCTGTTTGAGAAGATGAGAGTGACTATTATCCTGATGTGATAATTACCCACTGTATATAACATATCAAATTACCATACTGCTCCTCATAAAGATGCACAAATTCTTATCGATAAAAATTGACAGTCAATATTCTATAATTATTGTATTATCAACTTTGTGAATTGTTTCCAACAGAACTTTAGGACTAAATGAATATGGCCATGCTCTGTGGGATAGTAATCATTTTACAAATAATGCAATGCAAATAAACTTTAAATACTTGTGTAAAAAACTGTGTTAGGAGTTACCTTTAAGTGGGTGGGAAAGAAAATAAAGGAACTCACACTATTAATATATTCCAAAACTGTGGAAGGAAAGGAGATTTCCATATATATATATGTATATATATATATATACATATATATATATCTTTGCATACATATATCTCTGCATATATATATACGTACTCTCTTTGCTTTATTTCCATTTCTCCCACCATTACGAAGTAAATATGGACAATCCCCAAAGTTCATATATTGAATTCCTAACTCCCACCGTGATGCTATAAGGAGGCTTTCATAGGTTGAGTCACTCAGGTAGAGGCTTCGAGAACGCATTAGGGCCTTGGGAGAGAGATCCTTGAGAGCTCTCTAGCCTTCTCTCCACCATCTGAAGAAGGGGACAGCAGTTTGCAACTCAAAAGAAGGCCCTCACGGCATGGGCAGGTTGATGTGGTGATCTCTGACCCTCAAACTCCACAACTGTAAGAAATAAATTTCTGCTGTTTATAAGCTACCCCAACTATGTTACTTTGCTGCTGTCTCTCCAACTAACTAAAATAGTCCCTTTCCCATTGACACAGCTAACTGGAAAGTGGCATTTAGTAAAGCTCATTCAAAGCAGGTTAGAAAGAGGCGATCACGGGTATCCATGGGAGACTCACTGGCAAGTACAACAGCTCATCATCTGGGGATCTTCGTTTCTTGATGGATGTCATCTGGATCCCATGTGTATTCTGACGAAAAGCTGGTGGTGAGAAACGCAAGTTTCATTGTGGGCACATTTTGGCAGCAATAATATATGTTAAACATATTTAGTTACTGAATATTAACTATATTGAATAATACATATAAGACAGCAATAGTGACAGAAACATCTGCAAGATTAAGGAGTCTGCTCTTAACCATCCATTTACTTGGTGATAATTGCTTTTACAATAAAGGCATTCTTGGCAATAATGAGCTAGGGAAAAGGTCAAAAGGAGCAAGTAAAGGAAGGAAATTCAGGAAGCTGGGAAATAGCAATTCGTTTAAGTAATTAGGCAGGAAACCCTGCATCTTGCTTGTGTGGCTCTGTGAAGAGTTGTTAAGAAAGGGGAGAAAAATTGGATTTATGTTTTATTTTTCAGATCATTCATTTCCCATGGAGTTAAATGCATGTTGTAGAAACTTTTTTTGGTAAAATGAGGGAATTAATGAATAATAAATTCTAAAACTACACCCAGCCAGAATCCAGGGTATACAGGTGATCCTGTCAAAATTCAGATATTCTGTTCTTCCTGGAAGTCACTAATTTGTAGGTAAGCAGAGTACTCAGGGAAGAGAAAGGAGCTATGCTATCAGGAAGACACAAAAGTAAAATTAGAAATGGACATATATGTATTACCTATGTCACATGTCATACACGAATTTTTTGAGGACTGATCAGAGACAGAAAGAAACAACAGGAGAAGCATAAAATACTGACAGAAGTTCATAGTGACAGTTTCTCTGTTAAGCTTCTGTAAGCACAATATAATCTGGATACCAATCAGTGGAAACACTAAACTTTTTTCTTAAAATATATCATAGCATGGTACTTTAAATTACTTGTGGTGGTGATACCAGGATTAATCAAGACACTGTCTAGAATCAAATTTCGCCCAAGTTAGCAGCTTATATGCATCAGTGGTTTTCCAACTCTACCTTCATGTATGTTGCATTATAGGTTCCTTGAAATATTTCATTGTAAAAAGCTTCCATTAGTTAAAATCAAGTTAGAAAACAACTGATGAGGTTACTGAGACCCCTAGAGGGTCATATATGTGAAGTCAGGCCTGGATCAGAGCTACTCTACATCCTTACCCACTGGGCCTCATGAAATATGTCTTTAAGTATCACTGTCTCATGGTTTCTCATTGTTTAATTCTCATTATGTCATGAGGTGGGCAGATGCTATTTTAGTCCTCATGCTTAATATCTAGATTCTGGTTCTCAAGATTTAGGTAGCATTAGAATCACTTGGAGGGCTTACAAAACACAGATTACTGGGCTTATAAAACATAGATGGCTCAGCTTCAGAGCCAAAGTGCAGTGAGGCTGTATTTTGGGGCTTAAGAATTTGCACTTCTACCCACTTTCCAGACAATGCTGATGTCACCAGTGCAGAAGTCACACTGTGAGGGTCTCCGTAATAAGAAATGCTTATGAGTATTTGATTTCATAAAGCTATAGTGTGTACTTGGGGTTCATTTTACTCTCTGCACCAAGGTTATACCTATTCCACTAACCCGGGGGCCTCACGTCATACTTGATGCTAAAGCTGACAGTTCTCATCATGTGGCTTCTCCAATATTGCCCCCATCCCATCTTCTATCTGCTGAAGACTCAACCCTACCCCACTTGGCCACTACATCTACTTACGGCGCTTCGTACCATCACCGTTCTTTGTACTGTCCGAAACTTGCTGCTTTCTAATGCTGTCTTCATCCGCCTTCCGGTCTCTTCCTGGGCAAGCACAGATCCTGGCCTCAAAGCACCGCCGGCCCAGGACTTGCCCACTAGGAATTAGAGAAACGGGAAAGAAAGCATTGCAGTCAAAGACTGTTGAGGTTCCCTGGAGTCTTCGCTGATCATCACATGCGTACCATGACCACCCATTCAGCTGCGGCTGCTCTGAGGAAGGTCTGCAGAGAGCTCAGCAGAACACAAAAGAGCTTATGTGCCACCAGCAATATTAGTAAATAACATTCCATTTGTTCTGCAAAGAACCTCCAAGCCATTAGTTGAACAGCTGTATTTAGCTACATATTTTGAAGGAAACTTGAGTTAAGCCAGGGAATGTCTGAGGATAAAATCCCCTCAGGCAGCCCAGACTTACTCAGAGAAACTGTTAAATGCTTCAGGGCCACATGAAAACAAAGGCTGTCTGATCAAAAACAATTCCAGTCAAATGTCAAGAATTCAGGTATGAAGCAAGTTGTGCACCTCCCTAGTTCTTTTTTTCCCTTCTACTTTTACCCACCTTCTTCTTTCTCTACTTTCTTACTTTTTTATGTAAGCATTCACAGCAAGAATTTAAAGCACAAGGGACAAAACCGAGGTCAGCTTTCCACTGTGCATGCAAAGTTGATGATAAAAAAAAGACAATTTCACTTTGCCCTCTGCCCATGATTGCTCGTAGAATGACTGTCTGAAAAATGTCACTCACTCTCTGGTTTCCAGAGTAACAATGATTAAAATTGGACGGCGGTTCATCCCTCCAACACAACTGCTGTTACACATGAAATTGTACAAGACTGTCGTGAATTCAGTGCCAACCTGAGCACAGGAGAAAAGAAAAAACTGTATTAGTGATGGTCTGAGCTGATAGCTTTCCTTCTCCATTCTTCTCTCTTTTGAAAGAATTCCACTACTACTGAAGATCAATGCTTCCTTCTAGGAAGCTGTCTGACATCCATCCGCTGTGGGTTTCTCTTTCCCTTGCCTCGTGGAAAGCTTCCAGCTAATGTTTGAAATGTGGCAAACAACACAGGTGAGATAGGCTTTAACGGATCTTTGATCTTCAACCCTGTTTATTGCATGCTGATCCAAATCACTCAGAATATGGGCTACAGCATGGACATGAATATCACTAAAAAAGAGAGAGCTGGGAAAAATGTCAAAAATAGCAGCATCACTCCAAGTATATTTTCCCTACAGAGGTAAAACAGTATAATAGATTCAAGTACACATTTTCATAAATAGCATTCTGGACCTTAAAATGTTCTCAGAACAAAGTCATCTAGGTAATTTTTATTTTAATTTTTATCCATACATGTTTGCAGTACATAATGATTGTTTTTTATCATGGGGAGTTGGTATGTGTGCACAGCACATCTTAATTCTTTTAAAGTACTCATTCATGGGTAAGATAACCAAATCCCACAGAGGAACAGTCAGGTGTCAAAGATCCACAGAGCAAGTCAGCAAAGCACATGACTTTGGTCTCACTGCTCTTGCATAGTTTCTGCCACAGTACTCTGCGATGCACAACCGACTTACAAATGTACCCTCTGTTCAGGCAAAAGTCAGCTAAGGGATTCCTCTCAGACGCTCCCTTTCACAAGTCAGTGAATTCTTACATCCAGTACCTGTGCACATCCACTCCCAAATCAGTTGTCAATTGGATAGAACCCCTCTTTCTGGTTCAATTATTATCTGCCTTTATGATGGTGTGGTTGGCAAAAGTCACATTTCTATGTTAATTTATTAAATATTTAGGCATTTGAAAGGGAGGCATGTGGAGAAGAGGGATGAAAGGAAAAACAAAAAGTTGTGAGTTTGATGACAGGCACTAACACAGAGAGAGACAAATGGTAGAAATACCCCTTGTCATCCATACTAATATTTTCTCAAGTCCACCCAGTCATCCAATCTGTGTGTCTGTCATCCATCTGTGTTCTTTTTTTTTCTTTGCTTTTTACCTGGGGTGGCTCATAAGGTACCAGCACACTCTGTCTTCCTGTGATGGGGTCTTCTACATATTGGGCATGGCTGTTCCCTTCTACTCGAATCAAATGACTAGGTGGGGCAATCTGCCCTGCAGAACAGAAAAAGACAAAATAGTTAATTTACTTAACCTCATAATAAAGAAAACAAAAAGGAAATGTGCAGACAGAATGTGGGTGATCAAAGTAATAGCATGTGTGATAAAGGAAAAACATATTCTTGACAAAAGGAATAGACTCTTGCAAAGCATCTAATGTGGGAAGATATCTCAACATTTTTAGCAACACAGAGGGCTGTAATGGTGATCTGCATTTAGGAGAATGTGCCTAGGTTTTACAGTTTAACGTTAACTTTCCCAATTTTTATAGAACTGTATAACCTTATTCATGGAGGGCATTTTGCCAGGTTCCTCTGAAAATGGGAGAAAAAATAAAGCAAGAACGTGAATGTAAAGAAAATCAGTTTGAGAAAATGTTGCCCGAAGTTCAAGTGACAAAAATACTCAATAAAAAGAAGAAGGTTAGGTCTGGGGATGTAGCTCAGTGGTAGAGCATTTGCCTAACATGTGTGAGGCCCTGGGTTCAATCTCAGCACTAGAAAGAAAAAAGAAGAGGAAAGGAGGAAAGGACAAGAAAAGAAAACATAGAAGGACACAAGGGCAGACCTTCCCCTTGCTTATTCCTTGCTGCTTTTCCAACTATAGACCTTGCTTTAGTCATAAATCTAAGAAACTTGTTGGATTTATTGTGCTGAAGAGTCTCATTTGGGGAGACAAGAAAAAGGCAATTTTAAAAAGGGCCTAGCCAAAGTCTTACAAAATTGTGATATCTGCGAACACTCCAAAAGAAAGAAACTGCTCCAAGAATTAGAAGCCATAAAGTTGTTCTCATCCTTTAGCTGTGTAATCACATTCAATGAACACTACTCAGTAAAAGTAAAAAGCTAAGTGCATCAAAGGTGTTCTCTGCAACATCATCTATTTTGACATAAGAAGAAGAGGAAGAGGAACAGGAAGAGGAAGAAGAGGAAGAGGAGGAAGGAGAAGGGGAGGGAGAGGGGGAGGGAGAAGATGAGGGGGAGGGGGAGAAGGAGGAACCAACATTTTACAGAACAGTAATTCTGATGCAACAGAAATAGGTAACCAGCCTATCTCTATGGAATATCATTTATGGACTCCATGAGGAGAAAAGCCAGGCATGAAGGCATCGTTAGTGCATCCTTGTTTACAGGGACTAGAAATTCATGTGTAAAATACAGTTGTGTTAAAGAGGATTTTGATTACTTCCTCCTTTAAAATTTCTATCCATTCTCTTTCTTCCTCCGTTGAGTTTCTCTATAATCCATTACAGGCTTTATACCAACACATTCTAGATACCTATCAACATTTATATCACTGCTCTCTTTCTATAAATAACCTAAATCCCAACCCTTCCCATGCCATAAGTGCTCAGATGATTCTGGGTGCTCTCCCGGTCTCTCCTTTCTGCTCTTCAGTGCTCTCTACTAAGCCTTCCTTCTCAGGACCCTTCTATCAGATCTAAGGGAACTCTTGCAACAGTGACTTCTGTACTGTTGATGGATCTGAAGATCAGGAGATGAGACACGGCTAGGGCATGGACACAGGGCTTGAAGATAGTGCTCAAGCCACCTGCCCCCTGACACACTGTCCTTCACTCCACTGTCCCCCACAGTAAGGTCTCAGTCTTCTATTTACTTCTCCTACTCATTATTTGTATTCTCCATTCCTTTTCTTCTTTCCCCCTTTCCACTTTGATTTGGTTCATTATTTCTCTTCTTTTATGGCCCTTCCTCTTGCCCTTCTAGCTCTCAGTACACATAGACTGAAAAATCACTCTGGGGAAGGCACTAAAACTGAATTATGTTGGAGTTGTGCCAAGAAGAACAACTACCATATTGCTCTGCTTATGTCCTCTCATTAAAAAAGCAAGAAAAATAAAACAAGAAGAAATGAAGCAGTAGGGAGACCAGTCTAGGTTAGGTAGTAATCACTAATATTAAATTAAGTAGTTCAACCACTGTGAAAGCTGCAAAATTATTTAGCATTATTCTTACATATTCTGTAGGCCAAGAAGTCAAACTGAGTAGATACAAGCTTGCAGAAGTCTGAACAGGACTTCTGATAGGTTGTTACCAACTATGAATGCTCACAGCATTTTTACACCCTGGGAGCTGTGCAGTTACAGAACGCCATCGTCCTTACCCTCATTGAATTCACGACTCAGTTCATGGTTGGGGCACCGCTTCACCACTTCTGTGACGTGCTCAGCCTTCTTGTAGACGGGCATGGCGCGGATGACAGCTCCCTGAGGAGGTGGGGTCATCACCTTGATCTGGATAGGGCATGTCTTCGCAATTTGGCAGTACAACTTCTTCAGTTCTGTGGAATACTACTCAGAGACAGGCCCAGGGTGGAAGGAAAGAGAGAAGCAAGAGAAGACCATTCAAATACAGCTATTTATTATAACCTTTACAGCTGCCTGAAGTTACGACTACTTATATGACATCTGGAAATCTTACTACAGGAAGTCATGTTCACGAATCAAATCAATACATATTTTCCATTTTAAATAAAATCATATGTTTCCAAAAGACAGCACATTTATGCTATTCCCTATTTTCTTTTCTTTTAGATGAAGATATTTGTGGTCAGAGGGGTTTAAAAAATAATACCATAAGAAACCTCATTGGGTACATGAAAACATAATGTTTTCATGAATTGAGTGATTTAAACAACAAACTGTAAAGAAAGCTTTTTGTGTTGCAGATTACAATTAATCTTGTGCTGATAATTAATACCCTAACATGTCTACCCACCATCAAGCCAGGAGCATGAGATGCCTGGCTTGCTTGGGTCACACTGAGTGAGGAAGACTGTGCTGGACCACACATAAAACACATATTATAGTCATAAATGTAAGTAACAAAGCTTCCCTTCATTTTAATTTTTTAACATGGGTATATCTAACCCATGGACTGCAAGTTAGAGCTGCAGGGAGATTCATAGAAATCAGGGATCATGGCATGGTCTTGAAATGGAATATCTGGCCAAGAGTGAAAAGATTTTATCTAAGGTCAATGAACTAGAAAACTGCAAAGCAAAAGCACCCCTAAATCACTGCACTTATTTTCTGATATCACAGGGAAAGAGAATGCAGAGCTGAAAGGGACATTTGGTTGTGTATGCCTCAGACGGCGAAGTCTAATGTAACAGCTAAGCACTGCACCAACAGGAGCCAGATGTAGACCTCACAAGTGAAGGATGCTTTTCTTCCCCACTCTGCATCCTTCAGGGAGAAGAAACTCTGTGCTGGTTGGCTGGCTGCAGAACTGGTAAAATAAAGAGCAGGAAGCATGACACCAAGAACCAAATGGAGGGGAAAAGAGTAAAAGCCCTATCCTGTGTGGCTTCCTTTTCCCACCTGTGCATCAGAACAGAAAAATCTCCATCTGGATCCTTGTAGTGTACTAATCCTTTTCACCCCCACTCTTGGGGTCAGGATCCTATCACTGCATTCCTTCTCACTCGGAGGCTGGGGTAAAACCACTTGGCACTGGAAATCCTGCGCAACAGTGGGGCACCTAGTAACACGAATCCAAACAGAGGGCAAACACACATACCAGCTGCAGTCATAAGCTGGCAGCCTCATCCTCCCAGGGGAAAGGCGGGGGGAACAGGACCCACGGCGGCCAAAGGATGCATTCGTGGTCTGTCTCACCCCAACTCTGACTAAAAGCAAACATCCTCCCAAGAAGCACCTTGAAAATGACTGCTTTATCTCTTTCTTTTGAAATATAGTATTTAATTACATAATATTTCCTTTGCTCCCAAGTATTTCAATATATGAAATTTTTAGTTAAAAATTTCCCAGTGCTAGACCAGCATTGCAAAATCAGTCCTCCATGCCCGCAGGCCAAGGATTAAACACAGCAAAAAGGTTTTACATAGCCTGAAGAAATGGGAAACATGCCAAAACTCAACCACAAAAATAAAATTGTACTTAGGAGACACTGAGTGAAACGTAGATGGATATTTTTGCTCTTGTGTTTTAAAATAATTGTTTTTAAAACAAAAGCATTACTTTAGAACCTATTAAGGACTCACTTTTTTTGAGAACTCTGAGGAAATAAGCATGTCCATTTATGTTTCAGTTAGGAGACATATAATCCTTGATGTAAGAATGAGTTTCATAAGATGAACTGTAGGAAAGGTGACTGAAACTAAATTTGTCAGCTAAAACCTGAAGGTAAATAAGGCATTCTTCCAAGTAGGGGAAGATTGCAAAAAAGAAGACTCAGTGTTTAAAGTTGGACAGTTCCTTAGGAGAAGCATTTCCTAGCAATAATTATTATACCATAAATCAAGCTTGAAAGACTAAAACACAAAAGTACTAAAAGTAAGGTTAGGCATCATCAAGTAATAATCATCGCTCATTCTTAGGGGTGAAGGCGAGTAATGTAATTCCTGAATTTCCATAATGATCCATCATAATAGCTTTATCATTTGCTGAGCTCTATTCTTAGAAATACAATCCTCACATAGTGTTCTGAGGAAAGTTATGACACAAACGGACCCCCTGAGGCCAAGAGAGTCAGAATACTGAATTGTTTAGACTTTACAAAGAAAATAAAATTCTTAAAACATACATGACAAACTCCTCCCCTAGGAAGGAGGGCAGCACTCCATGATTAAACATTCACATTTCTTCAGGTCCATAAATGTTCACCCTCACTGGGAAATGACCAGAAAGCCTCATTGTTGGGGATGGATTTCACCAACAAAGGAATGAGCCACAAACTTAGAAAAAAATTTTTTTTGTTTGTTTTTCAGAGATTTTTGAATTTCAGAATTACAGATAACAGATAATAGGTCACTATTATTATCCCCATTTTATAGATAAGAAAAGTAAAGCACAGAGAGGACTTGCCTGAGGTCAGGCAGGCGAACTGCTTAGTCCTCATAATATAACAGCAGTAGCACACCTCTCCATTCTCTTGACTCAGCAGTGAAAATTTTTATACTTACAGATTTTTCTAGTTTAAAATATTGAGACTGCTTTCTAAGGGAATTTAAAGTGCGTGCAATCTTCTCAAATGTTAAAATGGAGCACCAGACTGGTGCACTTAACATCAACTGTCTTTATTTCTCACTATCATGTTTTCTCATTTAGTTGGAGGTAGAGAAAGCAAGTGATAGATTTGGAAAAAACCTGAGCTACCTAGGAGGAAGCCTACTCACGTCAACTTTTCAATGCAAACTTTTCAAGCACATACATTCAATACCCACAATTCAAGTGTGCCACTCCTTGTCTAGTTGGAGAGCTTCCATTTTCCTTCTGCTCTTTACACTATGCCATGACAATTTAGATACTGCTGCTCAGCTAAGATTGTGGCTGGTACTGAAGACCCTATTTTCCAAAGTTAGTGATGAGGGTTTCATATCTGAATAAATCAAAGTATCTGAGCAAGGCCAAGATGTATTGGGTTTATTGCTTCTGGTCAAACTACAAAGCTTGCTAGTCAGCAACTACAGGCGAAAAAGCACTCTGATAGGATCCTCTTTTTACAAAGTCAAATTTGCCACACTGTTTGCTTCACTGTTAGCAAATCAGTACTGTTAATGTTTTTTTTCCCCCAATACCAAATTCAGTCTTCTTGTCCTATGGTGTATGAATAATTCCTCAGACTTGGCCACATTCTTTATCCTTTACTACATAGCCCTGTCATCTTTTCCAATTTTCCAGTCTTCTTCAACATCACAAAAATGGCAAGCTGATTTGGGTCATGACTTTTAAATACCCTGATGTTTCAAGCCAGCCAAGATTGTAAATCTAAATATATATGGATTCTTTTAATACTCTTCCTCTCTGGATTTCTAAAATTCATGTCTGATTTGCTCTCCAACAACGACCAGAGTCTCCATAATTATGAAGCCTAATTTATGTTTTCTTGCATAGGGATTTTTGTTTTGTTTTGTTTTAATCAGCTTTACTTATGTATAATTTCCTGTAAAGCACAGAAGTTTTTAAGGGTATAAATTGATGACTTAACAAATGTGCACAGTTTTATAATCATTTTCAAAAGCAAGATATTGGGTATTTTCACCCTTCTCCTTTTTGCCTTATCATGCAGTTGGCCACTCCATAATGCCTGGCTCTAAGCAATCATGTGCCAGTATTCTTGAAGGTGGTTTACTTTTCTAGAATTTATATAAATGGAATAATATAGTATATAATCTTGGGTGATACTGCATTTGAGATTCATCTTTGTTTTTGCAGATACCAGCATTCTACTTTACCTTGGAGTACAATACTATTATTTATGAATTCTTTACAGTTGTTCTGTATTATGAAGAAAATTATTATGAATATTCATGTACAAAACTCTGGAGGACCTACATTTTCATCTTTACTGAATACACACCTAGAAGTATAATTCTGGGTAAGCATAAGTTTAACTTGACAGGAAACTACTAAACTGTTTCATGAAGGTTGTGACATTTTACATTGCTGTCCACAGAATATGACCTTGCCAATGCCTGACTTTTGTTTTAACATTCAAGCCATTCTAGTCTATGTGCAGCCAGTTTCACTGCAGTTTAAACAATCCCCTGATGAGTTGTAAGAGTTATTCCCTTTGACTATTCTAGGTCCTTTGACTTTCCGTAACAAATTAACATTGAGTTTACCTATTCTTACAAAACTGCCTATTAAGATTTTGAATATGATTATGTTAAATACATAGGTCCTTCTGGGGAAAAATGATATCTTAGCAGTGTGGAGTCTTCTAGTGTATAACATGATATATAGCTCCATTTAATTAGGAGAGCTTTAATTTACTTCAGACCTATTTTGTAGTTTTCAGTGTTCAAACATTTATTAGCTTCATCATTCAGTATCTTATTTTTTTAAAAAATTGCTATAAATACCTTTGGCATTTTAAATTAAAATTTCTTTTTTAAAATTTTGTATATTGGTCATGTCGCTAAATTTACTTATTAGTTCTAATAGATTTTTGTAAGTATCACAGGACTTCTACATAGATGATCGTGTCACCTGCAAACAGATTTACTTCTTTCAGTTTTGCATGTCTTTTAATTCTTATCTTTTCCTAACAATAAGAATTAAATAAAGGTTCAATTTTCTATTGCTTCCATTTTAAAATTAGGCACTTAGATCACTGAATTTAGATATTATTTTAAAAATATAGCAGTTGATTTTACAAAACTCCTTTTATTCGCTATTTAGTTATATCCAAAATTTTGATGCACTGAATTACAAATATTGAAAAACATGTAACTTGCTTCTTTTGCATGTTCTATTAATCTTATCACACACCCAGTATAATAATGGATGACATTTACTCATATTTCTGAGAAAAACAATTCTTT